CTACAGGCCGACAGCAGTACTGCAGGCGGCCCGACAGCGGAACTGCATGCGACCCCTACAGGCCGACAGCAGTACTGCAGGCGGCCCCTACAGGACAACAACAGTACTGCAAGCTGCATTCATGAACTGTTGTGGAAAAAACAGAATGAATACTTAAAGTGATTGGTAACTTTTTTCCTTGGAAGCCTTCCAAACGGCAGATTAAATTGTTACCCAAATATTTCGTGAGAATTCACCAAGTTTTATCTCGCATATAAAATCCTCACTTTTTATTATAAAACTTACACGTCTGATTTCGATAAATCTCACCTTCTGTTAAGCATTTGGTGAGTTTTTCTTTTAAATCAAATATCCAGATGAAACAGCATAATGTTTATAAGTTTAAGTTGTGCAGATGACATACCCGTTTTTCACAGATGGTGTCAAAAAATGAGCAAACCAAAAACAAAATACTTTTTTAAGGAAAAGGATCCAAGTGTAATACAAAAACAAAAAGCATATTTATTCTTCTTTCTTTAAAATATGCTTTGGATTTTGTCTTAGAGCTGGAAGTTAATTTAACAAGTTTTCAGAAAAAGACAAGTTTAGCAACAGCCCTCAATCAATTCTCTTAGAATATATTTTTTTAGAGCACTTGGCTCTCAGAGTGCAGGTTTACTCGTGGTTCCTAGGGTTTCCAAAAGCAGAATGGGAGGAAGATGTTTCAGTTCTCAGGTTCCTCTCTTGTGGAACCAACTTCCAGTTTCTGTCCATGAGGCTGACACATTGTCCAGTTTTAAGACTGGACTTAAAACTTTCTTTTTTGATAAATCCTAGTTAGGGTTGGCTATATGCCATTTTAAGATTAGACTACTGGAGGACAAATTGGCCTAATTTCCTTAAATGAATTGTTAAAATTGAATAGTTTTCATTTGATATTATTTCTATCTTAACATGTGATTCTGGACCTGCCATTGTGTGTGTTCCTCTCAAACCCAGCCGGTTGAAGCAGATGGCTGCTTGTTCTTAGTATTTTTCAGGATTTGTAGTGCCTGCAGTATCTTGAACCCAGTACACAATGCAGTGCACTGAACCCCATGACCCATGTGTGTGCCATCAGTGTATGAATGTGATCTAAAGCTTCGATTAATCTCTACAGATTCAGATTATCTTTGCAGAGATCTTAGAGTGCTGTATGAACGTGTGTTGAGATTGTGTTGTAACGAGCTTTAAGTATCTTGATTAGACAGAAAGGTGCTATACAAGTACAGTTACCATCTTTTCATGAAAATCTTTTTCTTATCATGACCCATCCATCAGTTATTGGTGTTTTAGGTAAAAATTTACAATTGAATTTTTCTTTTAGAAAGTTGATCAACTTTCTGATTTCCTTGTCCTCCTTGTGTAAAAGAAGTAACTTGTGTTCCTGCCTTAAATAATCAGCTATATCTTTATAAAACAGGAATAATGAGGGGGTTCCATGAGTTGTAATTAAGACACTTTAAACAACCGTGCACACCATCAGCTTCCGTTTTCTGTCCTGCCTTTTAAAAATCACAACGCACGCGTCAAGTGTTTCACTGTAGATTGCTGTTAATCATATCACAGATACAGTCAGGTCATAAAACAAGAATAGCAACTCACTGCCGTCAACTTTGCACCAGAGTACACAACTGACAAGCTCTACTTTGTACAATACATCCATCCTCCCAGCACAGCTTCAGTAACTAATACGCCACCATGCCCTCCCTCCCCCGCCCCTCCCACAGAGTGAAAACACTAACAACACATCCACACCTTCAGTTCAGACTCCTATGGAGAGATGACCAGAAGACACTGGGTGGGGGGGGGATCTGGTTCTGCTCCGTACATGTGTCCAGTTTCATGTGGCGCTTTAGGACCAGCATTGAGGTCGTTTTGATAAGAAAAGTGTGTCTGTACAGCAAGTGTCCCCTTTTGGTCACGCTTGGGAATGTGATGGGAATTCATGGGTTTGAAGAACAACGAGTCAACGGGGAACAAAGCTCAGCTTTTTGCCATTTTGTCAGAGGTTCAAGAGGAGGATCGAGGAGATGAAACATAATTCTGATGGGAAAAAAAATAAACCGATGCTCCTTGCGCTGAAAAATCCTAAATAAAATAAACGAATAAAAATAGCAAAACAAACATCAGTAATTCATATATTGTTACAGAATAGAAAATAATTGAACATGATTTTGTTTTTGAGAAGAGGCCGAGTCAGAGGAGTGGGATTCAGTCAGTCCTCGGAGCTCGATGAAGAGTCAGAGTCCTTCTGTGCTACGATAACATCGTCCAACAGCGCTTCTTGATCCGAGCTGTCGTAGTCGCCTTGGGAGAGGCTGTCGCCCCCCTCCATTTTAATGTCAAAGCTGGGACTGGTGAGGAAGTGATGGGACGTGTCCAGGTCCTCCTCGTCCATCATGTAGGCTCCATCAGACACCAGAGTCTCCTCTTCGACTCCGTCCAGGGTGGGCTCCTCGGGGACGGGCTCTGGAGTGTGGTAGTGATGATGATGGTGATGGTGGTGATGATGACGCCGGCGGCTTTTCTTCGGTATCACCGAGTGCTCCGTCAGCAGCCGGTGGAAGAGAGATTCAGGCAACAGACCCTGAGGAAAAACAAACCGAAAATAAAATATAAGAATCTACGATGCTTAAAAATGTGTCGTATATTAAAACCAACGGGAGGCTGCTGTTTTTAACCAGCTTCATTTTAAGATCCAATCACGTTAACAGTACAATTTAAATTTTAATATCTTCCTTACAGAGTTTCGAACTGATTCAGACCACTCGGGCGCCACAGCGATGTCGAGGTTCTCCTCCAGGTACTCCCTCAGCTCCTGCAGCATGGGGCAGAAAGCAGCTCCGACCTGAAGGGAAGCGTTTGTTAGCAGGGACCGATGCACAGCGTCCACTTCTAACCCATAAACACACGCAGCATGAGCTCACCTTCTTTCCTGTCCTCATGTTAATAAGTTTGACCTTCTCTGTACCTGTGAGGGCCTTATCTGCCCTCCTCCTCCTCTTCCTCTTGCTCCTGTTCACCAGCAGCTACAACAAAAATCCAATCAAAAGGATCAAGCACGAGAGAAATAAAACGTCCTGTAACCGTTTACACAAACCAAGACCCAGGGTTAGATCCTCCCACAGAACTCCTTTATTCTGATAATGGTTTACCTCCAGCATGTCTCCCTCCACTTCATATTCTGGGTTCTCTTTCAGCCACGTGGGTGGGTCCCTTCTTCGGGGGTTACGCTCCAATACATCATGAAGACCATCGAGGTCTGATAGCTAAAAAACAAAACAGTAATAATTAAATTCAGTTTGGGCTTGTTTGGCATCAAACTCTGTTGTAGAGGAGCTAAACTAAAACCACACACACCTCTTGGTCCTTTCGCTTCTTGCGGCTACTGCTCTCACCCCCCGACCCGTTGGGCATCAGGGCCTGCTTAGAGAAAGTCAGCTTCAAGCCCTCCTCCTGATCGGACGACAGAGAGAGGCTTTAACTAAACCACGACACATTAACAACAACATGGTCATTCATGCTCTTCTGCTCAACGTCCCTTATTTTCCTTCTACAGAACTGTGACAGCAACAGAAGGAGCCAGCACGTATTTATGATGCAAACAAGTCAGACAAGATCAGTTCCTCCAAATCTGAGGCCACCATGGTCTTGAGCAGGAAAAGGTGCCCTCTCCGGGTTAAGGAGGAGGTCCTACCCCAAGTGGAGTTTAAGTATCTCGGGGTCTTGTTCATGAATGAGGGAAAAATGGAGTGACAGATCGATAGGCGGATAGGTGCAGCATCTGCAGTGAAGCGGGCGTTGTGCAGGTCTGTCGTGGTGAAGAGAGAGCTGAGTCAAAAGGCGAAGCTCTCAATTTACCGATCGATCTACGTTCCTACCCTCATCTATGGTCTCGAGCTTTGTGTTGTGACCGAAAGAAAGAGATCTTGGATACAAGCGGCTGAAATGAGTTTTCTCCGCAGGGTGTCTGGGCTCTCCCTTAGAAGAGTGAGAAGCTCGATCATCCGGGAGGGACTCAGAGTAGAGTCACTGCTTCTCCACATTGAGAGGAGCCAGTTGAGGTGGCTCGGGCATCTGGTTAGGATGCCTCCTGGACGCCTCCCTAGTGAGGTGTTCCGGACACGTCCCACCGGGAGGAGACCCAGAGGAAGACCCAGGACACGCTGGAGGAACTATGTTTCTTGGATGGCCTGGGAACGCCTCAGGATTCCTCCAGAGGAGCTGGACCGAGTGGCTGGGGAGAGGGAAGTCTGGGCCTCCCTACTTAAGCTGCTACCCCTGAGACCCAACCCCGGATAAGCGGAAGAAAATGAATGGATGGATGGACAAGTCAAACTGTCGGTTTCCTCATCAGCTCCGACTGCAGCACTAATTATGAATAGTTGGTTAATTGACTTGTTTAAACAGTGGCAGTAGATGAAAGGGAGAAGCTAAAAATATGATTTTTCCAGATGTTTAGGTTTCTTAAATAGTCATTGTTGTAAATTACTAGTCTAAAGCTTTACCTGCATCTGTGTAACATTTTTGATCACTCCACAAAAATAAACTTTTACTCCACTTTTGTAGTGACACACTCTGCTAGTCTGACAAAGAACTGCTTATATTAAAAAAAAATTACAGGATTAGTGAAATAAATTGATTCAGATGCTGTGAAAAACACTCAGACACTGCAGCTAATTAATGAGTGATCTGATCAGTCACATTCCTCTAACAAGCTGATCAGTAGCCTAATTTAACAATCACTTCTGGTAATATCGTATAGCTGGTATAACTTGGAGATAGTCTGCTAACATAAGAAAGCTCTCCATAAAGCTAGAACTTTATATTACTCATCTTTAATAGGAGAATAAAAATAACCCTAGGTTTCTGTTTAGTACTATTGCTAGACTAATTAAAAGTCCCATCTCTGTTGAACCATGTATCCCTACAACTATAAGTAGTGATGACTTCATGAGATTCTTTATCAATAAAATTATTTCAATTAGAGAGAAAATTCAAACCATCCTTCCTTCTACTATCTCTAGTCCCCTGTCAAATGAGGCAACTTTAAAAATTTCACTAGAGCCTGATTTATGTTTGGACAGTTTTTGTCCAGTTGAGCTCTGAATTGTCAAAAATAATAATCTCATCCAAACCATCCACATGCCTGCTAGATCCCATCCCAACCAGACTGTTTAAAGAGGTATTTCCCCTAATTAATGTCCACATTTTGGATCTACTTGGTTTGTCTCCAGAGTTTCCCTTACCATTATGCAAGGAGGGGCACCCCACCCTGTCTACCTAACTCTGTTTCTGTCTGTGAGGCTGACACCTTGTCTACTTTTAAGATTAGGCTCAAGTCTTTCCTTTTTGATAACTCCTATAGTTAAGGTTGGCTTAGGTTTCCTGAGTTATCCCTTAGTTATGCTGCAATAGGCTTAGACTGCTGGAGGACAAACTGACCACATATACTCTCTGCTGCTGTCTTTACTTGCTCTACTCTACATGTTTATATTTGTAATTATTTCTATCCCAACATGTTTTTTTTTTTTTACTTTCCTCCTATAGAAAGTACATCTGGACCAGTCATTCTGGATTTGTTTCTCCTTCCTGTCCTCTTAAACCCAGCCGGTCAAAGCAGATGGCTGCTCTTCCTGAGCCTGGTTCTGATGGAGGTTATTTCCTGTTAAAAGGAAGTTTTTCTTTCCACTGTCTCCTTTGTGCTTGCTCAGGATGGGAGACTGTGAGGAAGTGAAGATTCAACACAACCTGCTGCTTCCTTAGACAGAGAACTTTTACTGATTGTCTTGTATGTAAATGTTGTACAGTACCCTGAGACAACTTCTGTTGTGACTTGGTGCTATAAAAATGAACTGAATTGAATTAATCTGATCGCAGCAGTTCACATATGATCTGTGTTGACTGCTCTGGCCTGGTCACATTTTTATGTTGATAAATGGTCCAAAATTACCAGGATGCTCCTTTAGACAAGTTTAGCTGCTGTAAGATGAATGGAAGCAGTGCATGTCTTATAAAATACAAACAGTCGTGGATTTAATGAGTGAACTAATTTACTTTGACAAAAACAAAGAATTTAATTTATTACCATTTATTCTCACCTCACTTTTTGTATTGAACGCTTTCTGAACTCACCTTGAGGAGTTTTACAGTAAACTCTCCATTTTCTCCTTCTGTCCCAAGGCCGACAGGTGTGCTGCTGGGTTTACGGATCACCCTCGCGTAAGCCATCTCATCGCCCCCCAGCTCTGAGTTGGGGTTGAGCTGAGCTTCAGACACGTAACGTCGCCCCGAGGGCCACTTACCCGTCAGAACAAGAGTACATAGATTGTCCAGACGGTTAATCAGCGCACGATCCTGAGCAAAGAAAACCCTTTTGGTAATTGTTTCCCATAAAATAAATGCATAATTTTGATTTTTTGATCAACAGTATCATCATAACTTTAAAATTAATTAAGTACCTTAGGCCAGTCAACTCTGATTGGATCAGGAGGAGGAATGCTATCCTGAGATGGAGTCATAGAGAGTAGACTATTATCTTCATCCACATCTCTGACCTTTATACCTCCTGACAAAAAGAAAAGTAGAAGTTTAAAGGTTTTTTTCTCGTTGTTGTAGGATTTAACATTTTTTCTAACAGTCAGTGGTCTTACCTCCTTCCCCCTCCTCATCACTGTCTCCACTATCATCACTGCTCCCTGATCGCTCTGAGGACGAAGATCCCGAATCCGAATCGGAGTCAGAATCAGAGCCCCGATCACCTTTCCTTCCTCCTTCTGTTTTGTCTTCTCGTTCTTTGCTCCTCTTAAAGCTCCAGCTCTGACCTTGCACTTTGCACCCCTGGTGACCCAAGGGAGTGCTCTGCAGCTCAGCACTGATATCGTCTCCAAACAACCGAACGCTCTCGTCACTCTCCTCCTCTTTCACTCTGGGTGAGTCCATCCCAGTCTTGGGCTGGCTGAAAGTCATAACGGGTGGTGGTGGAGGCGGGGGGAGAGCCTGCTGACTCTGGATGAACTGTTCTCGGGCCATGCTGAAAGTGAACTGTGGGTCTGAGAAGATGGAGAGCTCGGTGCGGCTGACGCCGTGCACCGTAGCTCCGAGCATTAGCTGATGATCGTGTTCTGGTAATCTCCACCAAGCAGGCAGCTCAGAGCTGCGGGGGGCCAGAGGCAGGTGCTCCTCCAGGGAGGGGTGGGGGAGGACTCGCTCACGAAGGCGGCGCAAGAGGCTGATGCGGTAGAGAGTACGTGATGCCCGCTCCTCGGTGATGGGAGCCACAGTTTGAGAAAGCTCTGATGGATCTGTGTTAGTTGAGAACAAAGTCAAACATTTCAACAAGCAGACGGCAGCACGCAGGCTACGAGTTCACAAGTTCAATCTTAAATAATTACCTTCACCCCGACCCGGGCGGAGGTGGCACACCCTTCGGCACATGGCAACAAAGGAGCGGAAGTATCGGCTGAGGCTTTCGTCAGTTTTCTTATCCAGACGAGCAAAGGTACGGAAACGAGTCCAGTCAAACTCAAGATCCGGTCCCTCTGGAAAGCCTGGCTCCTTCTTGATCTTCTCCACTCCAAATGTTGAGACCACACGGTAGAAATCACACTCCTCTCTCCGGGTCCACCTGGAAGCAAAGGTACCAGGACTGAGCTAAAAAGTTCAAACTTCTTCAGGAACTATTTAAAAGTGGATGTGAACAAAAATAAATAATGTGACTACATCAAAGCAGTTCACCTCTGCTGTCGCTCCTGTCGTGCGATTTCCTTCAGCTTGCTGGCCTGTTCGCACCGCCTGCGCCTGCGGTCGCCTTTGGCCTCGGCTTCCATCTTCAGCTGTTCTTGTCTGTAGCTGCGCTGGTACGCGGTGATCAGACGCCGCAGTCGTGCAGTCAACGATGAGCTCGAAGGCCAGTCACACGCTCCGCTTTGACTGGGTGCGTGTTCTGGGACCAGGACTGCCAACTTGTCTTCCACAGAAACCTCATCGTCCACGTTCATCGAGTCCGGCTGCGGGGAAAAGACAAAAAAACACGTTTGAGCACAAAGTTTCAAAACATTCAGTGAAATATACACAAATAAATGAGTGATGAAGAATCAAATGTGCTTTTTCAGACTTGTACCTCCTCTAAAAGATCTTTGGTGTGTCTTGATGCCGGCTTGAACTCTGGATCTTCTGAATATTTATCAAAATCAGCACTGAACAAAACACAACACCATAATCAAACACCTGCACCAAATCCAAAGGAAATGTCTTAATTTATTAACAAACAAGACAAACTTTCGTTTTTACTTAACTGCTGCAGCTTTATCTGAGCCACTGCTCTGACAGCCACAGTTGTAAAAAACATCACATTCAAAAAAAAAAGAGGGATAATTTTTTTAATATTTTTCAAATGTTCTTAAAAAAGTTTTTTGAATTACCAAAACCAAAGGATGAAAAGCTCTTATACTATTTCAGGACAACTCTAACAAGGTTGAGTCAGGTCCTGTATATGGATTATTCTTTGTTGGGGGGGGGTATTGGGTGAATGACAGTTTGGTAGGCAGGGCGCTCGGTTCTGTTGACAGGGAGGGGAGCCCTCCTTGTATAATGGTAGGGGAAACACTGCACACGTACTGCGTTTCCCCTACCATTATACAAGAAAGATCCCAGTCAATAGAACCAAGTGCCCCATCTACCAAATCCCCCACACCCCCACGCAGCTCCGTCACTTCTGGTCGGGGAGTGGAGATTGAAGCAGCTCAGCTCAGACTCGATACTGCGACAACCGTGCACAATAAAGACATAGCACTCTGCTACACCCGACCCCACCAACAACCCGCTCCCCTGACTACCGCACACAATACAATGTAGCGCTGCACTATGAATAAAGAAAGAATAAAGATGCACTCATTGTGAAATAATAATTATATTCATGAAAATGTATGTCATCTCCTCTACAAATTGATTGACAGCTGCTGCTGATTATGACTTCATAATTATTTTCATGCCTGCGATGCTGGTAAGACACTTCCATCAGTGATCAGAGTTTAAACAGTCTGCGTTCACCAACATTTCACCAAACAGAACATCTATGTGTTGATGCTGGAAATGACTCCTGCCTCCTACTCCGAGACAAATAATTTCAGAATGTTCAAAAATATCAATACTGTGTTAGATTAGTACATTTCATGCTAACAAGGGTTAATGAAAGTCATCTACGACTGATTGTTGTGTTATTGTAGGTGAAGGTCATCGTGCTCCTCCAGTTTAAGATACATTGAAACAATGTGACTTACTCATCTCCCAGCTCAGCGTCTCCAGTATGCTGCTCGGCGTCAATGGCCTTATCATCAGGCCGACCAACTCTTTCCACGAAGCAGAGGCAGGGGTCAGCCCGCATGGTGGTGTACATCTCATAACCTGGGAAGAATTGAAAAGCAACGAAAATATGCACATTATACGCCTGTCAACAAACCATCATACAACAATCTATAGCGATGGCCCAGAAAAGCAAAAACCTTCTATAACCTTTGACCTAGACCTTAGAGCTGGGGAGATGAAAAGATTATGCAACACTCTGTCTAGTGGTGAAACAGATGTGTATGAAGTTTCATTTAATTATTTTGAGCGGATCAGAAGTTATGGCCAGGACAAGAGAAAGTTTTCAGAGATAAATGGCCCACTTTTCGACAGACGTATAAAAATGTAAGATTTCAAAGGCCAAAGAGGAGGGTACAGACACCACAAAGCAAAAGCTGGGCCTTCATTTACAGTTAGTTGAAACACTGAATGAACAGGCCTACCATGTTTGAAAACACCAGCGAGCAGCGAGCGGTCTGCGTCAGAGTCCCACCACACTGCAGGCACCTCCTGCTGCTCCATCTCTGGCATCCAGATATCAACATCTCTGAAAGTGTTAAAAAATGCACTCGTTTGTCTTTAAGTGCGCGGCAGTAACAGAACCTGAGCGCTAACACTCGATGAGCATCAGATACCTGATATCAGCTCCTTTCAAGACAGAGTCTGCATGTTCACCGATGACTTCCTGTTTCAGGTAGTAGAGCATACGAACCCTCAGCAGCACTCTGAGAAGACAACGGTTTGATTAAACATCAGAAGAAACTGAACATGCACCTACATCCGATGAGGGTTCACCGACTTGTTGCACTGATGTTTCAGGTGTTTTCTGTAGCTGTCATCCAGCAGCAGAGTGTCGGGGTTGTATTTGCGTATCCACTCGACCTTCTGCACGTCGAATGTGCTCTGGGCCTTTACCCGCTTACCCTTCCTACCTCTTGGAACAGGGATAGAAAGACCTGGGCAGAAAAAGCAGATATATAAAATTAAAACTTGTTGTTGTACCAACCTTACTTTGTTTTATTTATTAATGAGGGACTTTCTGTCCAGCGTCCTACCAGAGTGGTTCAGTAGTGTTTGAGGTTCACGGCCGTTCTCTGGAGGCGTGATGAGCTCCCAGATGAAACTCTTGATGTTTTCATCCCCACGATAATGCAGGAGACAAAAGACCAGGATGACGCGGCAGATGGTTTCCACGTCACGCTCGCTCAGACGCCTCTTACATCTGGCGTGGGACAAGATATCCCTCCATCGACCCCAGCTTTAAAAGATCAACCGGAGAAATGCATGTCAACAAAAGGATGATAACATCAGCTAGAAAAAGAGCATTTCATGTGAAAATGTAGCTGAAAGCTGCAGAAGAAGTTGAAACCAGCTGAAAAGGTTTCATCTCTGAACTGTTAATGCGAGTTGAATTTGAACAGCTGACGTTTGCTGAAGGCAGAAAAAAAGCAGCAATGAGTAGAAAAAGCTGATTAGAGCAGAATAAGTGGAAATAGGCAGAGAGATGCCGAATAGATTACAAAAAATCTGAAATTAGCAAACAATATAGCTGAAATGGCAAAAAAAAAGAAGTTGAAATTAGCAGATGCTGAAAGGAGAATAAAAAGTAGCACAAAGTGTGGAAAGAAGCACAAAAATAGCAGGAAAAAAATGATAACATTTGCAGAAAATACCTAACAAGTAGTGCAAAATCAAAAAAGCTGAAATTTGCTGAAAAAAGCTGAAAGGGGCAGAAAAATAGATGATAAAAGTTTAAATAAACAGAAAGTAGCTGAGGAAACTGAAACAAGCACAAAGCAGCAGAAAACAGCTGAAAGTGGCAGCAAAAGGTTTAAAACAAGACGAAGGCTTTGAGGGACGTGAAGTAGAGCTGCCATTTCTAACCCGGGCCTGAAGCCTGGCCCGACCAGAACATGCTGGATGGGCGGGTCGGGCTTTTGCTTATGTCAGTGGATCAGCCGTGATCCGATTATATGGCAACGTGGTTTGCCATTCCTTAACCAACAGCCACACAAGGCCATTTCATCGTGAGCTGACGAGCCTTGAATGAGGTAAAATAAAGTTCAGTTAAGCTTCAGATGGGACTACCGTATTATCCGGCGTATAAATCACAGTTTTTTTGCATAATTTACAAGCCCTGCTACTTGTAGGCCGAAGCGAGATATTTATGGATTTTTTTCCACATTTATAAACCAATTTTTGGCTGAGATTTGATCGTTTTCATTCATTCTGACTGAAAAAATAATAATTTGAGCAGTACCACTTTCAGCCACTTGATGGCAGCAGAGTAGTTTTTTTTTAAGGAATAGTTCAACTGAGACACACCTTTGCTACAATTTTGAGCAAACAAATAATTGTTTTCAGGTGGTTATCCTGATAAATATGCACAGCAACTCGTCACATGCAAGCATTTACTTCCGCATATCAGCTTTTGAAATGCAGCTGATTTGACTGTCAAAATGCATTTATTACGCCAACTTTAGATTGAAACACACATTTACTATAATTTCGAGCAAACAAATAATTGTTTTTAAGTGTTAATCTTGTTAAATTCTTGTTAAAGTCTTCCCATGCACACTCTCACAGCCGCTATTTGGCAGCCAATCGATTTTTGGCACAACACCGGCCCACATTTCCAAGTTGTCAGTGGTGACGAGTAACAAACGCGACGTGTCAACAGTGACGCATAATAGATGCAACGTATACGACGGGTGGGGGGGGGGGGGGGGGGGGGTCGGACCTGTAATTACTATTAATTTGTCGGATCGGGTGGGATTCAGAAATTATGGCTACGGGCTGGGGCTGGGTCGGATCTGATTTTTTTGGACCCGAATGCAACTGTAACGTGAAGAGAGCTCCGCTCATTTTCAACGAGACAAACATCACCCACCAGAGCAGGAACGTCCTGAATGAGCCGAACGTTTGTTAAAATAGAGCTGAACTTATGGAACGACTTACACGCTGAAAAACGTGCAGAAGATAAATGGATCTTAACAGAGTGAGTGATGAAACATTCAAACAAAAATATAAAGATTTTTCAAACCCGTAAACCAGCAGGTGCTTCTCCACCCGGAAACAGTCGGTGCGGCCGTAACCTCCTCCACTGTGGCGATCGGAGCGTCGGGAGGAGCGCGAGTGTCTAGAGTTGGCGGGTGGATACTCATCATCACTATCCAGATCAGACACGTCTCCTCCTTCGCCACGTAAAGTGGAAAACTGACGGGTCTGCTTGCGAATCCTGGGGGTGTCGATCACAAGAGTGTTCTGCAGGAGGAGGAAACAAATCATTCAATTATTTAATGCAATAATTATGAAGCTGAAGAGCTATTCATGAAAATCTTAACAGCAGTTTCACCTTCCGATTGATGGAGTCCATGTCTATATCTGCTTTCTTGGCCCACTTCTCCCAGAACTCCGGGTCATCGAGGGCGATGTCATTGCGGTTCTCTGAGGCCACAAAGCTGGCTTTGGAGAACGTAGAGCCCTTTCCTTCGCTCTCAATAGTAATGGTGGTGGCTCTTCGCTGAAGGATCTGGTCGATATCTTCCTCACAGAAGCGACTCCCTTCATCATTCTCATCCATAATGGCGGCGTAAGCTCCTTTCCTCAACAGATCCTCAATCTCCTTCTTGGAGAACTGCTGGAGCTGTTGGATGTGACAAAGTCATTTACATAATGAAACGTATTCCATGTGGCCTACAGAGGTTTGATCTAAGAGAACGGTGTTTGTTTACCCCATTAACGCTGCTGTCTTTGTTGCCGCTCATGCTTTGCAGCACAGCTCGGTCCAGACCAAGCTTCAGACTTGCTTTATCCAGCATCTCCCTCTCGTAGGAGTTCCTGGTGATGAGTCTGTAGACTTTAACCGCCTTCGACTGGCCAATACGATGACACCTCGCTTGGGCCTGAAATAAGAAGGACAAAAGGGTCAAAGCAGAACGTGGAGTTGTTCACACAAAGACAATATGAATTGGTTCCAGTCATAAATGTCTCATTTAAAGCGACTGTAATATTGTACCTGCAGGTCGTTTTGAGGGTTCCAGTCAGAGTCGAATATGACACAAGTGTCAGCAGCAGTCAAGTTGATGCCCAGACCACCGGCACGGGTACACAGCAGGAAGACAAAACGATCCGAGTCGGGCTTGCAGAAGCGATCGATGGCGGCCTGTCGCAAGTTCCCACGCACTCTGCCGTCAATTCGTTCATAAAGGTATCTGTAACAACCAGAACAACATCTTAGAAGTGCACAGAAGCTTTACATATCACTTAAATATAAAGAAAGAGTGCAACTAATACCTCTTGTTGATGAGGTAGTCCTCCAAAATGTCTAAGCAGCGCACCATCTGGGAAAAGATGAGCACTTTGTGGCCACCAGCCTTCAGACGAGGCAGCAACTTGTCAAGTAGCACCAGTTTCCCCGCTGACCGAATTAGAGCCTGCAAATGAAAGTCAGGGGCCAGGGGGTCGTACACCTCTCGCAGCTCTGCCACGATCTTCTCTTCTGCACCTGGACAGGACAGAAAGGCAAGATGTCAGTAAATGAAAGAGACACATTTGGCTGCAGACACAATGACTCCTGCAGTCACCTGGACAAATACAAGTTAGGAATGCCAGTACCGTTTATGAGGTAGGGGTGGTTGCAACACTTGCGGAGCTCCATCATCGTGTTGAGCAGATTGGGGACGTTGCTGTTACTGTTGGCCCCTAAACTGAGGAAACTAAAGTTCCTCTCCAGAATGGCCCGGTAGTACTTCTTCTGGATATCTGTCAGCTCGACCTAAAAGGAAACGATCAGCCGTTTCATTCACCAACAAATGATGCAACGATTTAAGATGCAGCTTAACGACATGATGCAACGTGCTCCTTGATTTATTGCACTCATCCTGCCTCGGTGCATCTTTGGTGAAATCCGATATCCCTGCTGTGTTTCATCTCTATTAATTAAATTCTTCAGAAGCTTCAATAATTTAGAAAATACTCTCATGTACAGTTCCTTTAAGAGGCAAGACTGACCTCAATAATGGTCTCCTGTTTGGGCGCCAGGTTCTTCTCCACGTCCTCTTTAAGCCTGCGCAACATCATAGGCTTCAAAATGGCCTGCAGTTTCTGCACCTGCATGTCCAAAAACAAAGCACTGCTCAGAAACAGAACTGTAGCTGTTCGCACATCACCACGTGGGAAAACAACTATGTAGATGTGACAACGGGACAGTGTGCGAGTGTTAATGTGCAAGCAGGCATTTCACACCTGCTCCTCAGTTTTGAGGTCTCCAAAATCTCTAAGAAACTCAATTTCAGAGGGGAACTGAGCGGGCTCTAGGAAATGAAGCAGACTGAAGAGCTCTTCCACGGTGTTCTGAAGAGGAGTGCCGGTCAACAGCACCTTGTGTTCCTGCAGGAAACCACAGAACAAAGGTTAGAAGACAGGTTGAGTAGGCAGAGAGCACCATCATCTGCAGTTTCTCACCAGATCAAGCATCTTCAAGCTGTCCAACAGCTTGCAGTTGCGATTTTTAAGGCGGTGAGCTTCGTCGATAATCACACAGCGCCAGGAGATCTCCCTCAGCTCTGGGCAGTCGGACAGGACCATCTCAAACGTTGTGATGAGGGCATCAAATTTGTAAGCACCTGGGATCAAATGTCCCTGTAAACACAATTTATTAGGATTTAGACTCAACATTAAGTCCAGTGTTCTACACAAGAACTTTGACACAGGGACTGGAGGCCGTGGGGCCTTCAACAGGACAACAAAGCAGTAACGGATACGCTCACCTTGTCATCTTTGCAGTACATCTCGTACTGCTGGATCATCTGTCGGCTGGCGAGGCTGCCATGGTAGACAATGGCATTCATATCAGTCCAAGTAGAGAACTCCCTCTCCCAGTTGGTGATAGTGGAGAGGGGCGCAATAATGAGGAAGGGGCCTTGGATACCAGTAGCATAAATCTCTGAGAGCAGTGTGATGGACTGGATGGTTTTCCCCAGACCCATCTCATCTGCCAGGATAGAGTTCTGTCTGAAAGACCAAAACCACACAGCATCAACTGCATGTTCGGTTTCATCGTGCCTCGGCACAAAAACATGTATTTTCATTCATAACAACTTTAATATTCACACAGCAAAGATGGCTGCATTTCATGATTTATTTAGCCACAGACTACAATAAACCCATTGGTGTGTGGGATACATACCTGTTGTACCAGTTAAAGAGAAGCCAGTTGACTCCTTCCAGCTGATACTCTCGAAGTATGTTGCCGTTCTTGTACTCTCGAGTCTCCTCCAGCTTCTTCCACGTACCGGCAGGAGGTCGTGTCTGAGGAGAGACAAGTGAAGATGATGAAATTATAACTAAAGGAAGAACCTGACGAAGCTCCAGACATGAGTTAACGCCTTCCAAGTGAAACACAAGGAGTAAGAGAAAAAACACAGAAACTCCAGTCCGAAGAATTTAAAATAAACTTACTTTTCACGTTGGTGCCATTAGGCAGTTTTTGAAGCTCTACTTTATTCTGATGAAGGTTTTCCATTAAGGTTCAAAGTCAGCTGAATGGAAACCTTTTGATTCTGTTCAGGTGTTTAAGGCTTCACGACACTTTATTAGTTTTATAAATCCGTCATTCAGACTTTGCTCACAGCTTCGATCAGCTGCAGCTGTCTGAAGGGTGAAGTTTAACGCCTGGGGTCAGAGTTTTATGATAACACACAGATGATCATTGACAGCGCACTGTACTGGACGCCTGAGCGTGCTGCACAAACAGCTGACCGGCTCTACGTCACACTTCCACGTGTTTGGGCTGAACAGAGAACGTGACAAAGACCTTTAACTGGTTAATGCCGTTTGATTTGAATGTAATTCACTCTGATTCAGACGGCAGCAAAACCGTTTCACAAACGTCTTTGTGAGGTGGAGTTCAGCCCCAGCAGTGCTCGACTGATTTGTTTCACACAAACGCTGCTTTTAACGCACTAACACATATTGTTATAAAAACAAGCGGTACGCCGATGTCCCCCACCACTGAGGGACTTGAATAGTGAATGTTTGCAGTTTTATGATGAGTGTTTTTCTGGACGGCGACAGTAAAGTTTCCTTCGACGCTCTGGACACATTAGAATTTAATACAAAGATATATTTTAGCTACAAAAGTCCAGGCGAGGTCAGAAGAAAGCGTTGAGGTGCGAGGCTCTTTTCATTAATATAGAAAAATGTTTGTGCAAAGAATTAAAGAGAATTATGAAACTGATCAGTTCCTGCATGATTAAATTCTGCTGCTTTAACATACTGATGAAGGCATCATTGTTGCTTGTTTTGTTCTTTTTTATGACAAGTTTGTTTTGAGTAAATTCAAAACATTGTTTATTTATTAACTTTATTTAACCAGGCAAATCCCACTGAGATCACAGATCTTTTTAAAAAGGAGGCCTGGGCCTGAAGGCACCGCAGAGCTTAATGCTCAACTCTGAGTTTTTGCTCAGACCTATTTTTTTGCGTGGTTGTTCCATTATCATTAAAATGTGACCTCCATCATATGTTTACAGTTCTGACTGACCTGCATGTGCAGAAGAAAACGTGACGCCACATGCAGCATGTTGAGTTTAAACATGGATGCTACATGTTAGCATGTGTGATTCTGAAGTTGTTGCAATCAGAACAGATTAAATTATGACGCGACAGGACAGTTTGGTCCAGTGTTTAATTAGTTCTGCCTCTTGACGGCTCCTCTGGTGTAGCACTGTACAAGGATTAGGAGAGCAAAACCATCTTTTGACTAAAATTGTATCTACCCTACAGGTTAGCCAAGCACCATCACATCAACAACTGACTTTAGCAGATATTTATGATAAAATACAAATTCCTGAAACCGACTCCCAAACAGAGCACTGAAGTGAGCTTGAGAAAAAAATTAAAGTTAACATGGAGACGCATCTTTACTATCCTCTGAGGCATATAAATATTCATATTTTAATGCTAACATTGTTTAATTACAAGAACTAAAGCAGCAGCCTGTTTCACACTGAGACACAAACAGGCTGAGTGCGCTCCCACGTGGCAGAGCGGTTAGGGCAGTGGTTCTCCGATGTGTGAGCTGGTGGTTCAATTCCACCAGCAGTCATATGTTGAAGTGTCCCTGGGCAAGACATTGAACCCCTCATTGCCTCCGATGTGTCTCATCGGTGTATGAATGTGATCTAAAGCTCTGATTAGTCTCTACAGATTCAGATTATCTTTGTACAGATGTAGTAGAGTGCTGTGTGAATGTGTAGATGAGGCACAGGTTGTGTTGTGACGAGCTTCAAGTATCTTGATGAGATAGAAAGGAGCTATAAAAGTACAGTCCATTTACCACTGACGTGCAGTTTGCACATGTCTGTACGATGACGACGACGCTCCCAACACATTCAGGTTTAATACAAAGTCAAATTTCACAAACTAAAGTCCCGGGGAGGTCGGTGTGGGAAGAGGGGTGGGGTGATGGAGCATCAGTTCTGGTATCTCCCCCGGCTGCAGTGAACTGGCCATGTACGAACACATACGTTCAATATGTAAATGTTTAATATTTTAGAACATGTCATCACCCTCATAAGGGGGCGGGCGGTTCCGTTAGGGTAGCGGGGCATCATGCATTGATCTTCTGTTATTGCCGACTGTTCTCCAAAGGTTTGTAAAAAATACAATGAAGATCTACACCTGATTGTTTGGAAATCTTTCTTTTCCACACCTCCTTGGAAAAAAGTCCAGGAAATGCTGACTGGTGCTCTCACCTGCAGTCTGTTTCTAAGTTAAGAACACTGCTCCGAGCTCAACGTGGACCAGACAGCAAAACCCACCCTGCTCTGACTGGGTCCCATAGGGACCGAGTGTGGGTCTCTTTATTTGTTGTAAGCAGCGACAGTTTAACCCCTGGATCATCAGTAGAATGGACGTCTAACAAGACCACAACAAAACAAGCTTTTTCCCCTCCTCACTTTTACAGATGACACAAATCAGTCCTGGCCACATTCAAACCACAAAAATCCATCACATTACTTTAATCCCAACATTGTATGTCTGGAACAGGAGCGACACATTGAAGGTACAAACTCAAGTATCGACCCCAAAACGTCAGTACGGATAAGACCCGACACCAACGGTAGACTCAAAAGTTGAGTCCTCAAACTCACGATCAGACTCATGAAAAAAATCTGATACAAGTCAGACAGAAAACTCAAATTAAATTAAAAATCAGATTTGAGCCACATTTGTCTGCAGTGTGAACGTACCCATCATGCATGTTTTTGGACTGTGGGAGGAAACCCACCCAAACACGTGGAGAACAAGCAAACTCCACACATAAAGACACCAGGTCCAAACCAGGGCTTGAACCCAAGACCTACTCACTGTGAGGCAACAGTACTAACCACTAAGCCATCATGTTGCCCATATATGCCTAAAAACAGATGGTTGGGGGAAAAATGCATACACAAAGTCATGTTTTACTCAAGCACTCACCGTTTTCTTCAGACGAGGTTGCCTGTTCTGAATTTTGCCGAACTCTTTTATTTTGGTCTCATCAACGTCCTCCTTCAGTTCCCACGTAGCATCTTCGTACGGCAGGGAGCACCACTTCACCAGGTAGTAAATGACCGGCTGGAAATGATGGGAGTTACTTTAATTAGTAACAACAGAAACTCTTACTCATGAGAAAATTAAAAAGTTATAGTTAACAGAAGGTGAACAGCTGATTGCTCTGGACTATAAATAAAAAATGGCATTCCTAACCTCGCCATTGTCCTTGTCCACACTATGGGACACATCCAGGATCCTGTCCACTTCAACATAGTCGGGGTTAAAGGGCTCCTCATCCTGTAGAAGATAATAGTTCAGGTTACACTTCAGCCGTTTCTGAAATAAACCAGTTTTGACATCTGCCTCCCCCTCACCTCCTGGAACAAGCGCCTCATCTGAGCGTGCTTGGTCTTGAACCTCTTGATCTTCTGATGGATCCTTTTATCTTTCTCCAGCTGCGCCAGAGTGGCCCACTCACAGTGCAGGTACGAGCTGAGAGCAAAAGAGTGCAGTTGTCTCATCGAGCAACGAAAAGAACAGAGGCCCAAGTTGTTCACAAAGACACTAAAACTTACTAGTTTTTGTATTTAACAAAGAATTCCTCGGCATTAATGTACTGGCCTGGAGACACCTTGAAGAGAAGAAAAACTGTTAAAGAATCATTCACAAATACTCAAGGTAATTAAGAACATCAAGTGCCGAATGTGAGTAAACACCTCCTTCCTTGTTATCCTCATAGACAGGACTTTGTCTACAATGGCAGCATCTTCCTCACTTGGATTTTCCTGTTAAAAAATATATAAATAAATAAAAACATGACACACACCTTCAAGTTCAAAAGTTCAAGTCAACTTTATTGTCGTTCCACCACATGTGGTACTTGAGGTGGAACAAAATTATGTACACAGGGTCCCAGTTACATCCAACAATAGCAAACATATAAAGTATCAAAAGAAGCAGTAAACAAGGATCTAAGATATACGCTAAACACTAATTATGCCAAACACACACACACCTGACAGAAACAACAGGAATGCAAAGAAGGTGGAAGTAAATTTATTCAGCACTCACCACAAAGAACTGCATGCTGGGAAGTCCATCACCATCCATCAGCTCCACTTCCTGTTTAAGCTGCGCCGCTGCCCCCCCACTGATGGAGGCCACAGCTGCTGCCGTCGTAATAACGTCCACATCTTCCTGCTCATCTTCATCATCAGTTATTTTGATGTCCAGATCTTCTGTATACTTCTTCCTCTTCACCACACGATTGGAGCGTCTCTTCTGGTCCGAGGAATGAGTTGGAATTAAATGATTTGTGTTTATTAAACAATAAAAAAAAGCTTTTATAAAAGTAACAATCCATATTAAAGACTTAAATATTTGCTTGTACCATAATCATGTCGTCGTCCAGTGCAACAGGCGATGGTGGGCTCAGCTCGCCGTCAGAGTGGTCTGAAGACCCGGTCCTCTTTCTTTTTTTGGCTCCCACCAGAGTTATAGTGCTGTCAAGAAATAAAGAGAAAACTTATTTACTGATATACAAACAATAAGAAGAGTCTTCTGAACAGTTATCTTTCCAATCACGGTATATTCCCATGTCTTCTGCCCAGTCTTACTTTGTTTTAGTCTTGCTTTTGCTCTTGTTCCCCGCTGCAGGCAGCACGGTGCCTCCAACGAACGTAACTGTCCCTCCAGGTACCTTCACTTTGCTCTTCTTGTCAGCTCCCACCATGGCTCTGGGGACCTGTCCTCCAGACACCGGACTTTTCTTTTTGCTTCCTCCACCGCTGCTTTTCTTCTTAGCAGCCGACACTACAGTCACAGTTCCTCCCATCTCCGACAAGGTCTGGGAGGCTGGAAGCTCATCCTGGTTCAGGACTCTGGGCAGGTTTTTCTCGCCGCGTGCTTTGGCCCGTGCAATGGCTTCAGCCACGATCCGATTTGCTTTCTCCTGCTTGCAGAGGATCTCCACTCGACGCACTGATGCAGGCTCTCCGGGAGCTTTGGAGATACGGATGGTCTGGGATGGAGTGGTGGTTGTAGCGGAGGGGCCTGCAGCCGAAGTGTTGAGGACCTTCACCATGGAGACGGCACCACCAGCAGATGAGGCAGAACTCGTCTGAGAAAAGATGCAATTAAACATTCTGCTGTAAAGCATGCAAAACAAAATAAAATGCAGATGTGGACATCTACCTGTGGCTGCAGAAGCATTTTGATCGGCACCGCCACCCTTTGTCCTCCTTGACCTTGAGATATCTGCAGCACCTGAGGGCTGCCGGTGCTTCCTGCTCCTGACACCAGCTGGTACTGGCCACGTAAAAGAGGGAGGTTTAGTCACACTCTTGTTTAAAAACAACATTTAAAAAAGCTAACTAGCCAGTGTCAGATTAGATCTAGAAGTAAATCAACTTTAGGATCTGGGAATAAAAAAGTAAATAGATACTGATGCTGTCAGAACCTGATTGCATCTTATGGAGAGTTTGAGAAGAATGGTGCAGATGAAATCTTTGTGGTTAGGACATTATTAGCACGTGAACTGAAAGCCACAGCAGCCAGCTAGTTTTGTTGTTTTTCTTTCAGCTGTCACTTCTTCAGGACCACAGCGAGCGAACTCACTCAAAAGGTTCGGCCTTTTATGGCAGAATCTGAGCTTGGACCTGCGGCCTCTGGACTCCTGACCGCCGAGCTGCAGCAGCCTCCTCCCACCTCCAGACGTTGTGTTAAATTAGAAACACACTTAGCATTTGTTCTGCATGCATAAACTTAGTTTCAAACGCTGCAGAAACGTTGTGTTAAAGTAAAAAACCCAAATAGAAAACAAACCTGGGCAATATGAAACATAAATAATGTCAACAAAATGTGAATGCACCAAGTCCAAACTAAATTATTTGCTGAAGTCATTACAAACAAAAGATCTTTAAAATAAACGCTCTGTGGTTGATATTGATGTATGATTCATAACCATGCACATTGGCAGAATTAAACAGACTGTATTCACCAGGGTAATTTAATATGCTTTGATCTGAACACAACACGTCAATAATAACACTAATTAATGTAAAACTGCGGATCAGTGACGGCCACATTGTTGACGTTTACCATGAAGAATTAATCTTAGATGAATGCCTGACCTGACCGTGCATTTCTACAAAAACCCCAAACAACACAAACTATTTTAACATTTACTTCCATATTATTTATTAAGCATCAGTCACTGTAAGACGAGGCGATTTAAACGTCTCATCTAAAACAGTATTTAGGCCAGAGCTACTTATATAACAAGTACACAAGGAAGTCTTATAACATCCAGACAACTTATCTCCAGTCTTTGCTCAAACATGCCACTTACTTAAATGCATCAAACTTTCACAAACTGAGTTTCAAAACAACAAAAATCCTTGCGCTAATCAATAAAACTAGTCTTGACGCTAACAGATCCTAATCAAAGTTACTGAGGGAATGCAATAATTATTACTGATCGCTCCCAGAAACAGAAAGGTAATTATAACATATTGCTTACTGTGCCAGAACATGCCATATTATCTTTACATGTTTGAAATAATTGCTTTAATCCAACAAAAAAGGTTTCGGACCCGACAATATAAGGGTCGTTGCTTGGATAATAAATTTTAAACCAGCCGAGATTAAAAAAACATTATAAACTAATTAAACTTTTGGGGGACGGTCACCTGCAGCTCGTATTAGTCCGGTCTTATAACGTGAAATGGATTACAGACCTTTAAACTTTTGGTACCAGAAAATAACTGAAGGTTTACCCAAAAATATATAAAGAGAAAAGTTTAGATGAGAAAGTATAACACTATGAGAGCTATGTGATTTCTTATGAGTAATGTGAAGCTGGCTGGCAGAACTGAGGAACTTGTTCCTCACCTTAACTCCTCCTTGCTGGTTGGGCTGCTGTTGCACTTGCAGCTGAATTGTGACCACTTTGGGCTGTCCTCCTGCCTGGCCTGCAGTCCGAGCCTGGGTCAGGGCCGCTAGCTGGCTTCCCTGGAGCACCAGTTTGCCACTAGGGAGCTGACCCAGCACCAGTCTGGCAGGGGCTTGTGTTTGCTGCTGCTGACCCCCTTGTGTTGTCTGGACCTGCGTCACTTGCTGTTGAGCTGCAATAGCCTGACCTGCTGGCGTGGCAGAGCCAGCCTGAGAAGGCTGTTGAAGAACCAGGGTGATGCGCTTTGCTTCACCACCCTAGGATGAAATACAGAAAGGAGTTAGTCTGAAAGCAACCAACAGACCCACTACAAAAACAATCAACTGCTGTATTACCAGTGTTGTCACCTTCTTAAATAACTCAACAAGGAGGTGGTGCTTACCGGTGTTTGAGCTTGCATGGCTGGCTGGAGCTGCACCTGACCATGGATGTGGGTCGAAGCTGCCTGGCCTTGGTGCTGGACCTGGATTTGTGCGGCCTGTGCCTGGGTTTGGACCTGGATCTGGGCCTGTGGTTGAACTTGGACCTGACCTTGAGCAATCTGCGCTTGGGCTGGAATCTGCACTTGAATGGGCTGACCTTGCGTCTGCTGTACCTGCTGAGGCATGGATGTGAGCAGCACCTGCTTGACCGGCCCATTGGCAGACTGCAGCAGTCTCTGAACACCTGCAGCACCCACCTTGACTTGGGTCTGTCCTGGGCTCGTCTGGTTCAAGACTGCACCTCCCTGCAGTATGGACACGCCAGGCTTGAGAGGTGTGCCAGACAACACACGGATGACCTTTCCACCCGTCTGACCTGGGGTCCCTGACATAGACTGCAACACCTGGGCTTGACCCTGGGGACCTTTGAGAATGACAATTTTGCCACCTGCTTGCTGCGTGATGGCAGCTAATTGTTGAGGAGTGAGCTGGTGCGTTATCTGTGTGAGGTGCTGTGTGGTGGCAGTAGTAGCCTGAGAGCTAGAAACAGTCAAAGGTGAGCTCAGCAGTAAAGTGCTACTGGCAGCTCCACTGGTGTTGGTGGCAATGGGGATGGTGGTCTGGGTCTGCATCTGCGGCACGGTGTCAATTGGGGTAGGAAGAGGGGTTAAAGCAGAGATGGAAAGAGGATTTGGAGCAGAAGCTGGGTTCATGGTGGGAGACAGAGCTACAGAAACAGTCTGAGCAGTCGCCACTGGCATCGGCTGCTGTGTGAGAACTTGAACAGGGGTAGGGTCTGGGATGGAAGGAGCTGCTACAGGAACATCGAGGCATGTGTTGACGGTCAGGTCCGGGGTGAGGTCTGAGTCAACAGTTGGAACCACCTGGCCCAGAGCCAGCTTCAGCGCTTCCTCCACAGGGTCCGAGGAGCCCTGAGAGAAGGAATCATCCTGTAGGGCATCCAGGTTGAACAGAGGCGTGTCCTCAAAGAGGTCCATAATGGGATCTGCCATCTTGCCCACTCCACACAGGGAGACGGGCACAAAGTGAAAAAGACTCAAAGATGGAAGTCGTGTGGTTGTTGTCCAATTCTTCTCAACGTTTAATTAAACAGCTGGGGAATAAAAAAAGAGAACTTGATATAAATGATCACAAACACAAATATAAACAATTTAAGTGCTACAAAATAAAACTTCTATTCAAATTTGGTTTGACTCTTTATTCCACAACACCAGCATAAATAATTTACTAAAGACTGATACATTCTTATAAACTCACACAATTATTTTAGTATTTGTCACATTTCTTAATGTTTGAATGATATTTAACAAACTAAAGACCAGAAAGAATGTGTTTATAACTCACGACGTAAGAAAAAGCTCTGAAAGTGCTGCTTTGAATTAATGAAGATATACATTTAATTCCAATAGTGTTACATATAAAATGTGACCTCCTGAGTAACTTTAGTGCCTGGACCTGGAGGAGAAGTGAGACAGCTGAGCAGGTCCTGATGCTGGACAGATCCGCTGTTTTCCTCTGCAGTCCTTCTATTAAACCGTCTGTTAGCATTAGCTTCTCCCAACACCAAAGTGTCCCGATTACTACAGCAAGAGGCACCGAAAACGCATCCAGGCGCATGAACCCGGCTCCTTGTGCCCCTGTGGTTGTCGGGTCCCCTCTCTGTGATCCACCACCAACCATTCAGTGTACCGGACTCCTTCAATCTCATCAACAAACCGGACCAAAACCAGCGCAACGTGCCCGTCAATGTTCAGACACAGCTTTAGGCCGCAATGTTGTTTCGGTTGGTCTGCGGCTCAATTTCGGCAAAAATACGCGAAAATAACCATCACAACCACTGCCTCGGCACTCACTGTAATAATTTCGGGGTGCAAAATTTACCTTTGCATCGACACACATGGCTTTCTCCGTCTCACAACACTGTACGATTACAGGAAACGGCCAGGGAAGAGCAGGAACTAACTTCTTGCCAGAGTAAGCGTGCCCCTCGGATCCGATCGAACGATCATTGGTCGGTTCCCCCACGAGCCGGCACAGTTCTGTCCTTTCATTGGTGCAAGTGGCCATCTATCATTTCTAATGCCCGCCCCTTGAGGGCGGGACAAGAGACGTAGTTCGGTTGAGAAAACAATAAATGCGGCCTAGCCGAGATCTTTTGACTCGGTGATCTTCAGCCTTTCTGCTTTACAGCCGAACGATGCTCGTGATAAAAACTATGAGATCGTTAGGGACTTTTTGAGAAAACAAAAACAAACGTGCTCTTTAAATAGCTCGGCTCATTTTCAGCGCTTTAAATGCCTCGGCTGCAGCTCAGAAATGAACTTTGAGTGCAGCCTCGGTGCGCTGTTTACACACCACTGTTCATGTGTAGAATGTCAGACCACATTTTTTAGATCATTATTATGCGCTGACCTCAGGTATTTCTGACAGCTTTCTCTTCAGGTAACAGTAAGAACGTCTGTGCGCGTTCATGAGCGCGCGGTTGGGTTGTGGCGCTCTCTAGTGGTCAGAGACTGAATTGCTGGTATGAGTTCTGTTTTTGTTGAAATGTAGCAGCAGCTTTGTTTGTATGTGTGAACTCACCAGCATTATACAAAACAATAAAAGACCTAGCGTTCCTTGAAGTTAACTAATGACATTTTATGACATAATTTAACTTGTAAATTATTTTTGCTCAGCTCATAACACCAAATTTTAGATCTGTGAAACTGGCTTATGGACGGTCAATTAGCTGTGGGGGCCATTTTGATTTGGATTGACTCCAAATCTGTATCAGCTGCAGATGTACATCAGTACCTTCTGAGGGTTTCATTAAGTCCGTCCAGTGGTTCATTACATATTTTGCTTACAGACAAACGTGGTTGACTTCAAAAGGTAATGCCAAACATTTAGGCCAAAATATCACGGGACATGTTGTGCTCAGCCTGTGTTTGGGTGATCGGGAGCTGCTTTCACACCAAAGCATAGCAAGATATCTGTAGTGCATTTTTGTGTTTGCTAAGATTGCGTTATTGTGGTGGCCATCTTGAATTGATGTTGACTCCAAAAATCCATCTAGTAGCTTATAAGATATTATCCCCCTTTCTTGCTCGGCAGCAGACAATAATGAAAAGCTCATGTGCTCTTTGCACAAAAAGGCCACATGCAAACGATCTCCTGCAAAATGTAACTGTTTAATTAATCTAATTTGAGAGTCTGTGACAAAGTTAGACTCAAAGCAGTGTGCGCCTCAGATAAATGCTATTAACTGACTTTTTATGTATATGAATATTTCTGCTCAGTGCCCTGAGATGCTTTCTGTTGTGACTTGGTGCTATATAAATAAACTGAATTGAATTAATTTTCATTAAAAGTTGCTGCAAGACTTCCTGCTTCACAGAAACTGTGCACATCTTGAGGGCCCACTGGGGCCCCAGAGGAAGCTACTCGAAATGGTTGGTTGACTAAGTGAAGTCATATTTACAGAATAATTTCTTGACAAACATGCAACAGAAGAATAAAAATAATGAAAAATGACAATATGTCCACACAAACTCCAATCTACTGCCAAATAAACATTTTTATTTGACAGCCGAACAAATATCTTCTATTTTCAAGATCTTTTTATATATAAATAAAGAGAGGCGGGTGAGAAACCAAGAAAAATACTGCGAGGTGGTTCTGAACCAGGGAAGCGTGAGAGACTACAAGTGACAGCGCGCCACACTTTATCCATGGAAGTCCTGCAGGGATGAGCCGGCCCACTCGCCAAACCCTCCATCTGTCTGCGGCCCTGCAAGGAGTATCCACCGTACCCCTGCGCTCGTGCTGCATCATCCCATGCTGGTCTCCGAGGGCCTCGCCAGCACCGGCTCGGCTGGTGGGAGCTATATTTGCAAACCGCTGTCGTGGCGCCATGAAAGAGGACAGCAAAATTATCTGTGGCAGAATAAACACGCACACTGGCTGGAATTCAAGAAAATAAATCATGAATTATCGTATGCAAAGATATGCTCATCCAAACTGAATTTTATTTCCACTTTTTGTCCTTGATATAAATATTTTTAATAAATAAACATATTTTTCAGGATACTGACAGGTGATCAGGATCGGTCGTACAGCAGATGAAGGACAAGTCTTCTTTTAAAGCTGGACACGATGCTATTTGCTGATATAAATATTTGAAATAACAATAAATGAACAAATAAAAGTTTAAGGCTTTCACAGAGATTTAGCACAGAAGCACACAGTGCACATTTATAAATCTGTCATAAATAAAATATGTTTCAAGCAAACTCAATAAATATTTATACACATGACACAGCAAGCAAATATTTTATGTGGCTTTTTAACTTTTAACCTTTTGTTCAGGAGAAACTTCTGTTGTCTTTAGCTCTAGCTTGTATGAACCTCATCCTTTCATGCATCATGTTGAAATACAACCCCAGCTCTGAAAATGGTGGAACGTTGAGTAAAATGCAACAAAAGGCAGAATGCAATGACTGGCAATGCTCACAAACCTGTCATTTATTTACCATGAAACATTTCAAACATGCAACATTTAAGCAAAAATATAATAAATTCTTTGGCAAAACACGATAATTTCATGATATTAACAACATTTTTAAATAATCTTGGGATATTTCTGATTTTAAAGGACAAGTTTGAAAATTTAAAAGCAGATGTTTGTGATCTTCTGGACTTCAGCCATCAAACCAGGTCTGGTTCTGTTCTGGATGGGTGCAGGAACAGTTCCACAGCAAATAGCTCTCCATGTCATTCAGACATTCTGCTTAAAGCTCTATCAGGCAAAGAAAACACAAGTGAACACCATTCAGAGACACCTGTCTTCTCTGGACCGAAATGGACTGAAGTAAAGAGGAAAACAGTCCTGTGCTCAGAAAAAGTGAAGTTTGAAATTATTTTTGGAAACAAAGAACAGAGAGGTACCATCCAGCCTGTTATCAGCCCTCAGTTCAAAAGGCTGCCTCTCTGATGGTATGGGGGTGCATTAGTGCTGCTGAGATTGGCAGCTTACACATCTGGAAAGACTCCATCAGAGCAGAAAAGTATCAACAGGTTTTAGAACAACATGGTCTTCCATCCAGCAAAGAACCACGAAACCTGATTCATCCAATCAGTTTCTTAGACTGCAAGCATAAAGACATAAAAACCTGGATGACCCTTAATTTTCTGCTTTTAAACTCAGACATGACATAGGTTGTGGTTTTTAAACCCGTTACCAGGACCTCTTTCATCCACCTGTGTAATATCACTAAAATTAGAAACATCTTATCTAAAAATGATGCAGGAAAAACTGGTTCATGCATTTGTCACGTCTAGACTGGACTATTGCAATGGTTTATTATCTGGGTGTCTAAATACTTCTTTAAAAAGTCTTCATTTGATCCAAAATGCTGCTGCCAGAGTCTTAACTGGAGTTAGTGGGAGAGATCATATCTCTCCAGTTTTAGCTTCTCTCCATTGGCTCCCTGTCAAATCCAGAATAGAATTCAAAATCTTATTTCTAACCTACAAAGCTCTCAACAACCTAGCTCCATCTTATATTACAGATCTTACATATCATATTTTACGAACAAAGCACTTTGCTCTCAGACTGCAGGTTTACTTGCGGTTCCTAGGGTTTCCAAAAGCAGAATGGGAGGAAGATCTTTCAGTTATCAGGCTCCTCTCTGGTGGAACCAACTTCCAGTTTCTGTCCGTGAGGCTGGCACATTATCCAGTTTTAAGACTGGGCTTAAGACTTTCCTTGTTGATAAATCCTATAGTTAAGGTTGGCTTGGGTTTCCTGAGCTATCCCTTAGTTCTGCAGCTATAGGCTTAGACTGCTGGAAGACAAATTGACCACACTTCCTCACTCTGCTGCTGTCTTTACTACATGTTTGTATTTGTAATTATTTCTATCTTAGCATGTTTTTCATCTTTCCTCCTATAGAAAGTTCATCTGGACCTGTCATTCTGTTTGTTTGTCTCTACTTCCTGTCCTCTCAAACCCAGCTGGTCAAAGCAGATGGCCGCTCGTCCTGAACCTGGTTCTGCTGGAGGTTTCTTCCTGTTAAAGGGAGTTTTTCCTTTCCACTGTCTCCTTTGTGCTTGTTCAGGATGGGAGACTGTGATGAGGTGAAGATTCATCACAATCTGCTGCTTCCTTAGACAGAGAGCGTAATACATTGAATTGAACTGAACACCCAGGACTATTGAACAGCTATAGATTTCTCCATCAGATACAATTGGTACATAAACATTCTCCTCCAAAACCTCCTCCAGTTGGTCTCCTCAGGTCCTAGAGGTTTATGGACTGTTGTTAAAAGACGAGGGGGTTCTGACCAGAGGGAAACATGGACCTGGAGCAACTTTACTCAGATGTGTTGCTGCCAAAAATATCTTAGTTTTTCATTAAGACATTTGATATTTTTACAATGTTTCATTAAAAATAAAATATTTAGGAGATTTACTGCATTCTGGTTTTAGTCATATTTTACACAACTTTCTAACTCTTTCAGAACGGAGTTGTACTCCCATTACATCCTCCACAGTCCGTGTTTCTCACAAAGGGAAGACCAGAAAACCAGAGAAGGTGGAGTACTTCCAGCCTCCCATCAGGTTGCCCCTCTCCAGTCTGAGGTAAGCCTTGTCCCCCTTCTCCATGATCACCAGCCCCGCATTGGTGGCAGCTTCCCTGGTCACATCTTGGTCCCCTGCAAACGCTGAAATCATGGGCCAGCCGTTCACCATCAGGCTGACCTAAGACATGGAAAACCTGGGAGTTAGATGAAGCGCATGGATCCTCTGGAATGTCAGCTGTGATTCTTTAGAGAAGTGTACCTGAATTGTTTGCCTGTTGTAGGCCTTCACAACGTGGAAGCTGAAGCTGTACACCCCTCTGCGTGGAGCCATGAAGACGCTGCTCTCTTGGTCAAAATGAGTCCCCACATTAACCATAATCTGATCAGATGGAAGGAACAATAAAGGCAGCATGAGGGATGTGTGCAGGAAAATATAAAGAGAGAAAAGGAATGAGAACTGTTGACAGAAACTTTTCATATCCTGTATAAATACTGTATATATACTTTACTGTATATTACCCGTACATATCCTGTATAAATGCTGTACATATACTGTATAAATACTGTATATATATATATATATATATATATATATATATATATATATATATATACGTATATATACATATATATATATATACCATCCCATACCAATTTAGTTATAGAGCACTTAAAACAGCAACAAGGCCAACCAAAGTGTTGTACAAAAGAAACAAATGATCCCAGCAGACACAAAAACATAAAATAAAAATATATATTGAAATAGCAGTGGATAATAACTAAATGGACAACACTGTAGACTACAGATTGGATCAAAACAAATCACACCGTGTCAAAGGCAAAGGAATAAAAGTGGGTTTTCAGGTGATACTTAAAGACTGTGAGTGTGGGAGCCTGCCTGACACACAGTGGCAACTCATTCCACAGTCTTGGACCTGCAACAGAGATACATATATATACCCGGGGAGTGGTGGCGCAGAGGTTAGAGAGATGGGCTTGTGATCCGAAGATCGCCGGTTCACGCCCCGGCCCCGACAACATCAAAATTGTGGGTGGGGTAGGTGAAACACCCACACTTGCCCCCACCCTTATTCTCCCCACTCTGGGCCCATGAGCAAGGCCCTTAACCCCCACCATCTGCTCCCTAAACAGGTCTCTCTTGAAAATGAGTTCTCGTGGCTCAATGAGACTAACCTGGATAAATAAAGGCTAAATGAAAAAAAAA